CCAACTGACCATTTCACACGAACTTTTATCGCTGGATAATTTTGCGATTTTTCATCCAATTCAATCATATATATGCTCAAAATCTTCGCGATAAGTTTCTCTTTACCATAAAATTTGACCGAATAAGTTTCGAAACAATGCGACGGCAAGAAATACAAAAATCCTGATTTTCGTAATAGAATCAATAGTCTTTTTGCCCTGTTGTACCGCCATCTTGGATTTATCATGTGGGCCCCGCCTGCGCTAGGTATGCGTTAGCAATCTAGATCTCCTATATCTATGGTGATAACTTGTACTTGTAAATACACAGGAGGCCCAGGCTCGATTTGCCCGCGCCCGCCTGTGCCTTCCTTATAACAAGGGAAGGAAGGAAACATTGAGACCAAAATAGCCCAGACTCGATTTTTCGCCTTTAATGCATTTCTTTCACGATTAATAAATATCTCCTGCAAGAATGATACCGTATAACTCTCAAAACAACGATGCTTTAATCAAAGAGCTTAAATTTGCTCTGAAATCCGTGACTGGAAATAACAAAATTCGGCCAAAATAAATCCGCGTGCCGGGTTTGCTGGACAAAAAGCGGAAGTCGTTGAACAACTCAAAATATACTCAAAATCAACAAACATTTCAAATTTTTTGTAGTCAGTAATGTAATATAAATTTGAATCAAAACAATTAACAAATGTTGTCGGGGGAAAACCAGTGTAAATCAAATTATTTAAATTTAAGAAGTTTATAGTCAGTAAATATGGATAGTAATTTACCCTATTTGACAAGATGTTTCAGCGTAAAATTATAGTTATATTTACAGTTATATTTACAGTAACACATATAATCGACTTGTAGTAGACTTTATAACGTTTGTGAATTGTTTTGATTCAAATAATCAAATTATTACAGTAGTCAGTACTGTTGACTGTTCCAAGTACTATCCCCCCTGTCAGTGGAGAAAAATTTGAAATGTTTGTTGATTTTCGTTGTCCAATCAGGGTTGAGTGTATTTTGAGTTGTTCAACGACTTCCGCTTTTTGTCCAGCAAACCCGGCACGCGATATATTTTGGCCGAATTTTGTTATCCCCTCACGGATTTCAGAGCGAATTTAAGCTCTTTGATTAAAGCATCGTTGTTTTGAGAGTTATACGGTATCATTCTTGCAGGGGATATCGATTAATCGTGAAATAAATGCATTAAAGGCGAAAAATCGAGGATAGTTTCGTGTGACATATTTTGGTCTCAATGTTTCCTTCCTTCCCTCGTTATAAGGAAGGCACAGGCGGGCGCGGGCAAATCGAGCATGGGCCTCTTGTGGTAAATATTGAAATATTTCGGTTGCTTCGGTAGTTTTTATTGAAATTTTTCAGCATAATCAGCAATATGATACCTTACCTCCCATCATCCCCTGCAGGCATAAACTAAAAGCTGGAATTGCCTGTTGCCCATGCCAAGAAAGTTGAATTAGAATATTTAGCTGACCTTCAACCTTGTTCAAGGTGTTTGGTAATCAAATTGCACTTTTGCCACCTCCTAAACAGGCGTGTTAGAGGCTTTTTTACAGGATGGAAGGTGGAATGATTTTTGATGTATTGGAACAAGTCACTAGGCTAAACGAAAGCTCAAAATAAATGCTGGTTAACACAACTCAAATATTGTAGGGAAGATATTGTAGTTCAAGATGATTATTATTGCTGCTTGAACAACCTTTTCGTTTACTGTTAACTATAATCTATCTCTAGAAAATAATGTTTTTGCTGAATTGTGCACTGTGATTCATTTCAATACATCGAAATCATCCCGCCTTATATCTCGTCCTGGCAAAGCGGGATCGTATAAACAGCCCCTTATTCAGCAAATTGTGCATGGTGCCATTCCTTGGAGGTGAGGCAGCATTTTCCTTGCGATAGTAAGTTCTAGTTGTATTCTATTTTGTGGCTATCAATGACGATCGGAAATCTAACATTCGCCATGCGTGCCGAAACCTATACTCGTCTGGGCACAGGTGCCCCAGCAAGTAATTAGCAGGACAGTTACCCAGCACTAGTAAATTGGCCTTTCTCACGATGACGAATATCCACCATTTTTGGGTGGCATCAAATTTTCATTATCCAATGCAGACAATTAAAACAATGTGAAAAGCGATTTGTCAAAATAAACTAACCATTTACAAAGCAAACTGACCATCATTCGTCCAAACAATTATAAAAAGTCGCTGTTTTGTGCATGTGGACTTATCTCGCAGACTTCGGCTGAAATGCCACCCACAAATGGCGGCGTGAGGAAGGCTCTACTCTCAACCTATCATAGTAGCAGTTTGATGTTTTAATGTTTTAATCACTTTTTGGTTTTAAAACATCAAAACATTTTAGTTTAAACTAGGCTGTCGAAACTTTAGTTCTTGATTACAATCCGGGCTTTGTATTCATTTGATGATAAAGTAAACTTGCCTTTATGGGCTAACCAAAGGGCCATTTCTAGTTTTTATTAATATTCCTACTTGCAATTGCTAATAAGCAGTATGCGAGTCTTGTAGAAAGAGAAAGTAGAGAGAAAGATTCTTTCAACCAGTTATGTCTAAGACTGCGGAAATAAACTTACCCTCGACAATACACCCTTCCGGAATTTTCCGTGATGATTGATACATTTGTTCTAGAGTGCTTAGTTTCTGTTACTGATGACGTAATTATAAACAGATCTTTCATATGCACTGACATAACTGCACCTATGATTTTGCGTTACCTGCTACAACAGACAATTAAACTCTAAACCCAATATCTCAATCTCGAAAACAAATTCATGCGGCCAAGGCTGACTGTTTCCAGTGTATTTAGGCACTGCATCTTTGTGTTTGAAGGAAAACCGGAATATACGCCAAAAGCTCTTGACATACAGAATTACACAAATTTCACCTACTTAATTTAAGTTATGAAGTAGTGTAAAGCTACCCGATCTAACAAAATTAATAATTTCAACTGCCAACGCTCACATTTTTTGCCGTGAAACTTGCGGATTTTATGCTTTTCACGGCCTTGCAAGAACTTCTCGAATGTATTTATTGAGTTACAATAGGTAATAAAAGTTTTGTGGGAACATTTCGCTCGTCAGTTTCCAATGAATTGATTTAATGTGGCATAAAATTTTGTTCAAAGGTTTCATAATTATAATATTCTGCATAAGAGCAGTATGTTTGTCGGTACTCTATGCTCGACCTACAGCTAGTATGTATATATCAGGTTTGTACTAAACGTACCTTCGACAAAAAAAATAACGATGCCAAGTAGACATGACAAGGTAAAGTAGATCTAAAAATATATTTGGAAATCTAGAATAAATTCAATATCCAATAAATTATTGATTATAGTATTGATTCTGCAGGCGTTTGTCTATGGTCCGACTAAATGCTTATAACTGGAAAGAGCTTTGACATTTTAATCCTTTGGGAACACAAAATACATATTGCTTGAAATCAAAACACAAAATTCAAGGTGATATTTCGACTCTACATCCCAGCCATTTTGATTTTTGCGCCACAAAGAACATTTACAAGTAAATATAGTCATGATATAGTATAACGACATAGAGACTTTTAGAAATAATGTTGGACAGTTTTATTCAAGCCCACTAGGTTAAGTGTTCAATAATAAAATTGTTACACTATGTACATAAGAACAATTGATAATGAAAGCAAGAAACAAATTAGAAACAAATGGAATGATGAAAAATTACAGGAAAAATTATCACTGTGTTTAATATAGAGGGTGTATAATAAATGTACACTCTTTCAAATTAAAATTAACCGTAATCTATTGTTGTAATTTGACAGCCGTATAATTTCTCGAATTAATGAATGGGTGAAAATATACAAGGTCCTCTGCACATGGGAATTTAGGGTAACTCCTATTTGCATGAACAAATACACAACTCAAAGATTGGTGTCCAAATGAAGCATTATTCAAGTCTGCATAAGATATAAAATGGGCCAGCTTACTGTAGCGCAACAAATATTTAAAGTTGTACATTTTTTGATACACCCTGTATACCTAATTTACTTCAACTACTGTATATTTGAATTAAGTAATACATTTTTTTGTTAGCAGAAAAATATGACGAAACTAATATTTTTTATTTGCTCATCAAAATAAAGAAATTTCTTTAATACGCCATGTTTGCGATAGTTCGCTCTTTTATAGCTCATATACGTAATTTCGTACAATTTCGCATATTTTCTTGCAATTTCGTACAAAATCGCGTAAAATTACGCGCATTTAATTTTGTGTACTTCAATCATTACATTTTTCAAAGTAATCATTATAAAATTCTGGCATGTTTGGGGGGAAATGATACGTTGTCTGAAAAATCTTACCTGCATGCTTAAGATATTGTTAAATTAACTAGACCACGACCAAAATAGAATGACTAGCCAATACGTTCAACCAATTCAAATGTAATAGTGTTGCTGGAAAAATACGAAACTATGATGCGCAGCTAGTATATAAGCATTTTGAGAGTTATGCGGAACACACCGACGCACTCTTGAATCAAAAGAAATTCTTTGCGCAAGACAAAGCGTTTCAGTGTTTCGAGATCCACGGAATACCTTCGAATATGCTTCATTATTTAGGCAGTTCACTCCCATCGGGGCTTTTCAATGACTGATTACATCTACAGGGTGTCCTAAAAAATACCCTTCTGTTGTTGGTTAATTACTATTATTTATAGTAATTAACCAACAACAGAGGAGACATTTTGGGCGACACCCTGTATGTATAGTACCGTCGTTTGCAACTGTCCAATCAGAAACGCAATAAAATCTGACGTCAAACTTGATCTAACTGACATGAACTTTGTATGTTGTAAAAAACGTAATGTGACAAGTTTAACAAAAACCGTTGAGAATGTCATAATTACTATACATCATGTACTGATCATGTATCAGATTAACTCGGACGAAATTGTCAGAAAGGAAAACCACTGCCAATTGAGATAAGAACTCAGATTTTGCAGAACGCGCCTTTAATACTTGCACATATAGGACATTATCCCAACCTTTGGGAATATACCTTTTCAAGGTTAACGACGCCATCAAGGGGTGCAAATACAAGGAATTCCCTATAGGTAAATTTGCAAGGGGTGCAAACATAATGGTGAAAACAATATAGATTCAAGATGGCGTCCTTGACCTTGGAAAGTTCCGCTATTAGCCCTGCATCAGTTGGTAATATTTTGAAATTGCATAGTGAGACTGGCGGTCTTGAAAGTCGTCCACAACACACGTACGTAAGAACTCAGTCAAAGCTATCTTTGAAAATTCTGTCCTTTAGAAACGATTGTTGTTATAGCCAAGGATCGGCATCCTTGAAAGAAATTGAAAAAGAAATAATTGAAAATGGCCCTTTAGATATCCACGATTTATATTTATTTATATTTCATTGTGCTGCCGCTCGTAAATCCGTGTTTTCTAAATAAATCTGCATACTTGAGTAAATCTTCGTCAATGGACAGTAAAAATTCCTCAATTGTTTGGTGACTCCCAATTCTAGTTTTCGACGTTTGAACCAAAGTGAAATAAACAATGTTTGTGAAACTATAGAACTTGCTCACATGTTTACATAGAACCTACAAAGTTTATATCAGTTAGATCAAGTTTGACGTCAGATTTCATTGCGTTTCTGATTGGACCGTTTAAGCTTAGTTGCAAACGACGGTATTATGCTTATTCGCATTACTTATTTACTTTTACAGCAATAGTGATATTGAATTCCTAACTATATGTCTCTCCTAACCGTTGCATCTAAGGAAAACCCACGACTTTCGATAGAACGTTGACATGCAGACTCTTTCAACACAATTCCGTAGATTTAAAGCCAGTTTTCCATTACGCGGAATTTTGCGTGCGGAGCGGAATTTTTCTTTGTGTTGTGATTTCTCGGGTGGAACTAATTAGAAAAGACAAAGAATTATATAAAGATTCCGCTCCGCGCGCAAAATTCCGCCTATTGGAAAACAGGCCTAAGAGGTGAAAAGTTTACCATCTTTCTAGAAGGTGAAAGGCCGTTGATCTAAAGACCGCGCCACCAACGCTACTATATAGTTGCCATAAAAACCATACAGTTGGAACCACGCCTGTTTTAATATTGGCCCCATTTTTCCGGCAATCTCACGTTGAACAAAGAAGCTGACGTTTGTTTATGCCAATTCACAAATTTAAATTACTTAGATCTCTTAATTACTTAGTTAAGTTACGCTACTATATTATTGTTTTAGTTTACAGAAGCACAGAATAAATCAAAAGTTCCTAATTAAGCTTTCGAGTTGTCTAAATAATTTTAACTCTTACATAATGAATAACTGTTACTGTATAGTTATTTCATGATTAACTATTAACATTTAATTATAAACGGTTCGATCATGCAACAATTTCCGTTAAAATTTTGCATATGATACGACTTCTTCTAGAAGCCATGACCATGTGGTCATTTAGAACTATAATTTCAAATCCCAATTTATCTGACCAGTCATTTTGGTTCAAGTATTATTTATTGTTTTAATTAATGACGTAATTTTGGGACTTCAGTTGACGGGCAGGTATATACAAAACCCCCCAGCTATTTTAGCGTATTGATCGAGTCTATAGAGACCGTTTAAAACTGAAAATATTAATTACCGCTCAGTGTTTCTTCCTACAACCATTCTGATAGGAATTGCTTGATTGGATGAATAGTCACGTGATATCAAACAAAGAATACAGATCTAGAACTTTGTTCTTTCAATCACAAGAAGTAGAAGTGTTAACACATTCAGAAATTACGGCAACCACTGAGTGTTTTGATAAAATACAAAACAATAGATACTCCGAAAATTGAAAGCATTTTGAAAAATTTATTTCGACGTTTCAACTAAACTATAGTCATCATCAGGAAATGAATGATGACTATAGTGATGACTATAATGATGACTATAAGTCATTTCCAGACGATGACTATAGTTTAGTCGAGACGTCGAAATAAATTTTTCAAAATGCCTTCAATTTTCGGGGTATCTATTGTTTTGTATTTTAACACATTCAATACAAGTAGTTATTTTATTCAGTTATCTGTGTGTTAAATGTCTAATGATTAATTATTTTATCTGGAGAATTCTATACATTTATTTATTTAATATATTGCGCGGTTTATTCATATATATTAATGTTATATACATTTCTTCGTTGTACATTTCACGCCCAACGTAAATATGACAGTTGACAGTCATTGTTTTTTTCTTCCAGTTGACCTTTATCGGTCGATCAATGGTTCTCGTATTGCTAGCGAGATAAAAGGCTGCGCGAATAAAATGCATGGTTCCGTGCAGCCTGCTCGTGACGTCACGCATATCTGCACTGTTATCTTCAAGGTGTTATTTTAACCCCCAAATCAGGGGTTACAAAAAGAGTCGAAAATAATCCCGTTTTGGGGGTTAAAATAGCACCATAATTCTGCGTTAAAATTTAACACCGTTTCGGGGTTAAAATTTAACACCATCTCGGGGGTTAAAAATCTTGTCCCTTCATTAAATCGGGCTTAGGGGCCTGGGTGACAACTTTGGCTTGCGAAATTACTTTTCAAACTGATTTTGCATTAGGCAATTCCAGCTTTTAGTTTATGCGTGCAGGGGGTGATGGGAAGTAAGGTATAATGTTGCTGATTATGCTGAAAAAATAAAAGTGGTGGCCGTGTAAATACGGATAGATAGCTTAAGGTCCATACAGACCGGACGCGATTTGGCAACGCGACGCAAATTTTCAATTTTGCAGTGACTTTAACTTCAATATTTTTCTATGTTTTTCAAATATTCGGAACCTCTTCAGCAATTTTAGCTATTTGGTCTGCATATCTTGTAAAATTTTTATCCGTTGGCGGTTTTATTTGTTTTTTGAACACTAAAAAATCGCGTCGCGTTGCCCAATCGCGTCCGGTCTGTGTGGGCCTTTATACTTGTAAATATTGAAATTTTTCGGTTGTTTCGGCAGATTTAATTTTATTGAAAATTTTCAGTATAATCAGCAATATGATACCTTACTTCCAGGCTTAACCCACTCCGCGATACCATGTCGCGAGAAAATAGACTTTAGGACTCTGCAAACTTCGGTTGCTGTCTTATTCTCCTTCATAGGGCAGACTTCGACATATCGTGATAAGTAATCAACTACAATTTAGTAGTCAATGTTCTCGCATTTGAAAAATTTTATTGCCAAAGTTTGCCATGGTCTTTCTGGAAACGATGTAGGGAACAAGGTTCAGGTTTATTGACCAGGTGCATGGAGCATGTTGTGATGAACATATAGATTTAATTTATGCCAACCAATAGCAGAACTGTTGCTATAGGGACAAAGGTCATGCGATTTATAGCTCGAACACGATGCGATATATAGCTTGAATGCGATACGACTACTAGTGATGGGCGATACCAGGATTTTTAATTCGATACCGATACTTTTAAGATCGGTATCGGGCGATACCTATTTCGATACCAAAATGAACACAAGTGAGTACTTAAATTGCTAGTATCGGCTACTTTCGATACCTGCCCGTCAGCGGAAAAACATTTTTCATTACTGTATGTAACCTAAATAAAGCTATATGTAAACCAAAAGTCCGAAACGTAATAAATATTTTCTATATATGACTTGGCGCAACAGTTATTCCACTCACTCTCGTCAAATATGAGCGATAGCCGATTCGGCGCTACGCGCCTCATCGGCTATCAGCTCATATTCGACTCGAGTTCGTAGAATAACTGTTAATTATTATATACACAAGGTCTGGATAAATATCCTGGTAGTAAAGAACCAATCAGATTGCAGAATACCTCATATCCAGACCTTGTGTATATAATAATAAGAGTTATTTTAGTGGTTCATTAAGTCTTATTCAACCAAGAAGTGAAATTAAACAAGTCGTTTAAAAAAGGGTACAAATATCGAACGATATCACGTCAGTAATCGATACCTATACCGCTGTTTGTGGTATCGCTGGTATCGAATACCGCGAGTACTCGGTATCGCCCATCACTAACGACAACGATACGTTTTTTTGTATAGAGTTTTACGTTAATGATTTGTCACAAATGTTCAAGAAATTATAGAAATAATTACGATATTCAATACATGGCGCCCAACGTGAAAAAGCCCGTTCAGTTTAACGATTAAAACAACGATTAAAGCCAAGGAATAAACGCGATTACAACGAAAATTATCGACAGACGAGAAGCATTGTTTATACAACGAGATTTATATCGATCAATAGTAACAACGATTTTCAACGATGTCAACAGAAACCGAAAAGAAATTGAAACTTAAACGATTGCAAATGAGACGACAGGGTTATCGAGCATTCGTGATACGATTAGTTAAAGAAATTGATGAAATTTGTGAAGTGGAAAGCTACGATTACGAAAGAATTCAAGTCATAGATCAACACTTACAAGATAAACTAAAATTACTCAACGAATTAAACGAAAGCATCTTATTACTTTGCAATGTCGAAGAAATAACACACGAAATCGAGGAATCAGAAGAGATAAACGACCGAATCCTATCTAAACGAAAGAAAATAGAAACGATCTTAAAAAATGGTGACAAAGTTCATAGTAAAATTAACAACATCGAAACTCAATCAACCGGAAGTAGCGAAACTCAACCAACAGGAAGTATTGAAACTCAACCAACCGGAAGTAGCGAAAACCAACACGCAATTAACGACGTAATTCCAACAGTCGAAGGGCAACAACAAGAATCTAATGCTACGGTTGAACTGCCAAACACAAATCTGGAACAACAACATTCCATGAATTTACAATATACACACAATCCATGAATTTACAATCTATTTAGATTTAATTTTATGTTGACTTAATTTAAGCCAACCAATAGCAGAACTGTTGCTATAGAGACAAAGGTCATGCGATTTATAGCTGGAACACGATGCGATATATAGCTTGAATGCGATACGACTAGTTTTTTTTTGTATAGAGGTTTACGTTAATAATTTGTCACAAATGTTCAAGAAATTATAGAAATACGATATTCAATACATATGTACGACAATGCTGTACCATATCCTGGTTTTGGGTACTCAAGCTCGGCCACCACACGGATTGCTTTCCACGACCTTTCGCACGCCCACGTGAATGTCAAGCATTCTTTTTCAATTTGACTATCTAGATTCGGTATCTGTAAGTGCGCGCGATATGTAAGAAACGGGTTTTCACTCATTGTTTTCTTTTTCTGTAAGACTACCCCTCTTATACCGTAAGAAGATGCATCTGCATTTATCTTTGAAACTTCCAGCCACCCTCGGCGCGTCCAATCCCGGACTCACCTCCCTGCAAGTATGTATTTTATATAATCTATTGGCGCTGTTTAATGCCATTGTATGCAATAAAGTATTGCGTTGCAACTGAAGACAAAACCACAAGCATTGGACAAAAGTTTTACGTATAAATGTAATTGGCCCTAAAAGGGGGTTTAGTCAGGTCGGGAGGCCATTTAAAAATAAGGCCATCAACTTTAGGGTTAAAGGTTAGGGTTAGGATAAACGTTTGGATTAGAGTGATTGTGATTGTAGGCCATTACAACCCAATAGTTCATTGCATACAATGGCATTACAACGCCAATAGATTATTGGTTACAACGTGCGGAACGGCTGTCAGGTCTTCAGGATTTATATGCATCATAAATTATGCTAATGTTATGCTAATAGAACATGACAGAAGATTGGCCTCAAAATATTCATACTATATTTCCACAGTAAGAACTGATTATGGAAAATTTTGTCTTCGATTCCAAGGTCCCAAGGTCTGGAATAAAATAAATGATGTGAAAATTTAGTCCAAGGGTGCATTTAATTAAGCGGCAACCTTCTTCTAGTTTCATTGATAAATATTAATGATATCAACTTTTCAGATAAGCGAATTCTTCAATTACTGTATGTTCTTTTCATTAATTTTTTGTTTTGTTTTAAACTATTTGATGTTGACCACACGATGCTTGATATAATTATGAGGTTGTCTGACTCGATTAACGTAAATTATTATATTAAATGAACTGTACGCTGATACTGGAATCAAACTAGGCTAATTTAACTTAGAAATTACATTAACAAAACCGTTATAAGAGCTTTACTAAAGGTTAACCGGTTAACCGGGCCAGTCTGGCTCCATATGAACAACCCTTAAACCCCCCCCCCCCCAAAACTAGCAAAAATGAAAGTACACCAATATACGGGGCGTTCACACTGAGCACACTTTGATATCGATATAATTTAGAGGGATCTCAAACACAACCAAAGCCAGTTCCTTGGACCTCTTGTGGAGTGTCCATATTTGCACAAAAACTTTAATTAATTAACTAGGTGAGTAAA